TGGAGCAGAATAGCTTTACACTGTCTCGCAGCTTCCCGACTGGCAAATCATTTTCATAAAGAAACTTGAAACAACTTCCTAAAAGTAAACAGCGTACCTTGCGTTCCGTGTAACAAACTTCCGAGGTAAATACAGTGAAACTTCGCATCTAAATTTTTACGTGTACGATATTTTATTAAAACTTTATATGTCCCAAACTATCAGGCTAAAGTGTTCTTTCGCTCAAATACAAAGTTAACTAATTAAAATTCTACAGTATTTCCATTTTCTTCCCTTATGCGCGTTACTTTAGACCGTTGAAGAAAGAATATCTTCGATTTCGATACGGAAAATAATTATCTAAATTTCTTCTTGCGAAACGTACATTATTCACATCACACTATAGATAAGCCTTCAGATTAAAATAAGACGTCATACAGTGCAAAACATGTTATGGAAAACTAAATATCAAGTCGTCCCATAAGTTCGTGCCAAAAGCGAAAAATATTTCAACGAAAATCCGAGGAAATTCTATAGCGACGACATAATGGTCCAAAAAATAATAGGAAAAAGTTGTGCAAATAGAAGGTCCTTACGTTTTTTACAAAACTTACAAAACTTACGTAAATTACAAAACTTGACACGAACTTATGAGATGAAGAAAAGAAATTTCGTTGTTATTTAAAAAAGTAACTACTGCACAAACTGTTTATAATCTGATACATCACTAACCAAAAGTTTGAGACCACTTATCGACTTACACCGATGAATCTGCTAGCAATTATGCTGCAAGGATCAACACCGTCCAACTAGGATTTTTCAAAAAATTTCCACCGTGGTCCCAAACATTTTCCCAGTAGCGTACGTACCAATTCTCGAATCCTGAGATAACAACATTTCTCGCACGTTTCCTTTTTACCTTAATCAAATTGCCTCCAGCTACCGCGTACGCAGCCGCGAGCCAGCAGAGACGGCCAACATAAATTTCCGTTTCCAAACGGACACCGGCGGCCAGGTAAATTTCCACGAAGACAATCGATAATTCGCCCCCGTTGAAATTCTTTTCGCCGGCAAAGAAGCTACCGGTGCTGCGAGACGCGCGAACGGGACATGTGGAATCGTTTCGCGTTAAAAGGCCTGGCAAGATCGGAAGTGAGACGATGAGACGAGACGGGACAAGACAGGACAAGACAACGCACAGGGGGCAAGGCGAGACGAGACAAGACGAGCGAGAACGAGGCGGCACGAAGACAAGCCAAGACATTTCTCAAGAAAGAAAGCTGCCGATGGAAAAGACGTCAATCCTCGGCTGGAACTCGACTAGAGTCTGACCTGCTATATAACGTCCGGCGAGCCGTTCCCCTCGACGGATAAAGAGAGGAAGAGAGAAGAAAGAGAGGAGGCTGACAGAGATCGGGTGACGTTGCAAAAGGAAGGAGAGAGGAAGAAGGAGCATCGTCTAGAGAGTATAGTCGAAAGAGGGCATCGCGTCCGGCGTGGTGACCTACTATCTTCGCTTCGGCTGCTCGCCTGTATGGTTAACACCGACTACACCGTCTTGCTGTTTCACAGGTACGCACCGTGTGTACTCTTACGTGTGTATGTTCCACGACGAGCTACCTGCTAGCGGCTACCAGCTATATTAGCCACTTTTCATTCACTACTCCCTGTCACGGTTCCAAGTGCTCAATCGATCGAATCTGAGAAAGGAGAATGGTAAAATCGAACCGCCAACTTCTTTCCAGCATGCTTGTTTATAGGCATGATCGCGATCCATCAAATTGATATCCTTTCGCAAATTCTGTTTGCACGCGGTAGAAGTAGCAATCCTGTTTTATCGTTCGGTTCGGGGTCCGTTTCTGAGGAAAACTGTCGCGAGTTGCTCTCGAGAGACGAATTTATCGGTGTAATCGGTGCTGAGAGTATTAATGGAGAGCTGGCCACACTCTCGAGAAAACTTTGACATGAACGCACACCCTTATTATACTCGAAGGGCACATAATGCTTTTCATAGTTGATAATCGATAACGATTGGCAATATTAATCAATGTGAAGCTGTTGTAGGATTATCTTTATTACGATGGTAGGATTAAATTGTAAAGACGCACATGAAAAATTAATTTAATCAATTTATGTTCGAATTAATATTCATTTTAGTTTTTATAATACAGTAAATTCTCCACAAGTGTCAGTCCGCAAGGAAGCTAAACCTGACACTTGTAGAGTCAGGGACTACGTTTTCGAGCCTCGCGCCCGCCTTTGTAGTTTGCCGAACGTAGACAAGGACAGCGAATAAAAGATAAGGATGAAACGTGAGTCGAGGCAACCAAGCGATTTAAATACCAACTTTTTTAATTTTACGTTTTCTTATCCCGTACATTTGGCTGACACTTGTAGAATCGGCCCTACATTTGACTGACACTTGTAGAATCGGCCCTATTTTTTTTTTTTACGTGGAGGTAGGCCGACATTAAATTAATTACTCAATAAGTATTAATAAGTAAATATTGTTTAAATTATATCGTATTGACTGACAGCGAGCGAGATAACATAGGCGCAGCAATGACGCTTCTATACTGACACTTGTAGAATCCAAACTGACTGACACTTGTAGAGAATTTACTGTAATTGTATTTATATTAAATAATTTGTAATCTTGACAGTTAACTTGTTCAATGAACAAAGTCTTCTTTTGAAATTTTACAAAATAGATTGCAATTCTTTTTCAGAAATTTTTGCAAAAAGGATGCCTTCGTTTAATAACGAAATATTCAAAGTGTCCTAAAACATGAGATAACGTTCAGTGTATCGTTGAACATCATTACAAGTTGAAAAAAAAAGAAATATCCAGTCCCAGTTCCACTTTTATCACGAGGCGAGAAGAATTTATTAAACGAACGTTTATATTTCGTCAGAAGAATCTGTCTCTTTCCACAAAAAACAAATATTCGCAACGTTCAGATTGAACAGTACCACTGCAAATCTTCGATCGATTCGCGTTAAACAACGAAAACATGGTGCTTCGTTAACGTAGATTAAACGTTTTGCGAGAATAGCGAGAAAAAATATACGTCGATCCACGCTGGAAATGTACAATCAAATGTACAAACACGATGTGCCAACAGTGTATATTTCTTTTTATTCGATTTTCTGCGATTTTTGATCGCAGATTCAAAAAGAAGAGCGTGTGTCATCAAATGATCAAATGAAAAGTCTTGATTAAAACTGACTCTCGGTCAAGCGATTCTGATTAAATAGATTTCGTTTCTTCAGACAGAAGTCTCCAGCTTTGATAACACTCGTATGATGTACGACAGCTACATTTTCACGATGGAAAAAATATATTTCATATGTATCGTTTCATTCCTTTTACTATATAAAACTTCAAAATGTGAAACAAACTCGTTTTTTATGTTTGTTTTCAATTGTATTCCATTGAAGAACTACGTTTCACACTGTTGTAAACACTCGTTTAATCCCAAAAAAGAATCCAACGAATGTAAAATTGAATTATTGGATAATCGTTAGTGGAAAAAGCTTGTGAACAGTTTGAATTGCGGTAGATGTTCGCGAAGTTAAAAGGAAAAATAAGAAAAGGCAGTTGAATTGCACGCACGCGCCAATATGCGTTCTCGTTTCGAGCTGCTCGAGGTAGGTATACAATGACAGTTTCATTCAGAACTTTAGTTCGTAGCGATCAGCGCCCGGGAAAACGACAATATTCAACGTAAAAGGAAATTACAAGAGCCACGGTAATTCCCCTTGTCCCGTGCGTGAGAAAATTCAGTATCTTGAGAATTTTATGAAATGAAAATTGTTCGAATTTGTGTAATACAAGAAGAAGTGTTCACGTACTTGGCATAATTACTCTTCTTCCAAATGTGCAAAACAAAAGCGTTATGGTCTGAGCTACACTGGTCAAAATTTGGCGAAAATTTTCCTCGGGAAAAATCGTTATATTGATAAGTTTTAGTTCTATACTTACTTATATCGTCGTAACATAAAGAGATCTTTCGTAAACTATTATTTTGAGTCGACGATGTATCAATTGAAGAATTACGTGGAATGAAAAGGGTTAGACAATTGAGACAATTAAAATTCAAATTAATCCGATCATTAGTCGCGGGAAATTCCGTCAATTAATTGAGAAAATGTAACTCTGAGCGTTCGATGTTTCCGAGTTAAAATTTTCCAAATTATTATTTCACTCATTCTTCGCCAGTGATACCAATCCTCACATAAACAGCGTACGTCTGCGATACTTGTCCGTTACGTCCGAATAATTGTACTTCTGCAGGTCAATTTTTCATGAATCAACGGTCAAATCACCGAATCAAGGTCCTCGAAAATACTTTCGAGAACCGAAACTATCAGAAAATGCAAAGAAAACACTTTCATCCAATCTCTAAACACCGCAATTTTTCACTCGATTATAAAATGCTCAATGATCGTGTCTCTCTATCGCAGATCCTTCTCGATCCTCGTTGCGATCAGGAAGACTGTTCATTGATGGAACACACGAGGATTAGTCGGAAAGAGCACGAACTGCATAAGTAGATTCACCTGTATTACGCAGCACAGAGTAACGGTCACCGTACGAACTGTCTGTCACTTTTAAACGAGGAGGACAGTCGTTTACAGCGAACGATAATTTCCATTCGTTCGAGACTAGTACTTGGGGCGAACGAGCAAGCAGCAGCTGATCCTCGGACGTCAGAATCAGTGGGTAATAATACTGACAGGAGTTACTGCCTCGAACTATGATTTCGTTAGACGGTATTCGTTAAAAAGCGAGAGTGAAAGAAATTCCCTCGCGATTATTTCTGTGTTCGACGAATCTCGAACAGTTATCGTAAATCTTCAGTCTCGACGAAGCGTTATTCTTCAACTTCCTGAAACCGTTCTCTACTTTCGTAATTTCCTACAACGGCGTGGTCTCGATATCGTTAAAGTTGAATTCGGCAAAACACACACACTCGTCGATATCGAATCGGAAAATTTCAGAGAAAAATTGTACTCACAGCTAGAAGCAAAGGCAGCAACAAGATGAAAGTTGTCTTCCGTATACCCCGCCACGTCCTCTCCATCATGCGAATGTCCTCTCTGCAATAAAAGAAATGAAAGAAAACTCGCTATGAATACGGCCCACTGTCGAACATCTAATTCCATGCGATTAATCTCCCCAGTCGATCGAGCGGCTCTTATATATAGGTCACGTGGTACAGGAATCGTCAAATACTCGCGAATCGATTAACGGGGGAAAATGATTAAATAACATTGTCGTCAGGTCGGTACTACAAGTGTAACGTGAGTCTCAAAGGGACAGGAAATATACCGGAAAAAGAGATCCACGGTATTTATCGTCAGTTGGGTGCACAAGTAGCGCGTTTGCTGTTGGTAGTTTTAGAAAAGGACGTTCCACAATGAGCATCTAAACCGCAATCTAAAAAGTCGAACTTCTTAATTAAAAGCTCGTTCAGGACGGCGCAATCAAAGACAAAATTGGATCCTCGAGCGTCGTTGCCTGGAGATTCAATTCTACGCGATTCAAAGTCCTCGCAAAGGGGCTCCGTCTCTGCCGGAATTGCCGGGGAAATGTAGTTTAAAAGGAAGGGAGAGAAAAAATAAGAGAAAAATTAAATTCCTTCGCGTGCGCAATGCCGGCGAGAAAAAAAGGGAGATGGTCAAAGGCCAGTCAGTGGAAAACTTGCAGTTGGAATGCGGCGGCAGAGACATGAAAGGAGGGGGAGGGGGGGGAAAGGATTAAATTCGTGCGCGATCAAGAGGTACGAAAACTTGCAACCGAAGTGAAAATACCGGCTCGATTCCTTTATTTCTTTCGTGGAAACACTGCTATCTACCGGAAGATCCAGAGTGATCGTATGGGAAATGTTCTTCTCACCCCCCGGTTTCGACGGACAACGCGTTCGGTCACACGAAATTTTGCACCGAGCAACTCACACGTCGTCAATTGTTCGTCATCCGGCCCGGGGCACCAACGTGCTTCCTTCCTTTTCCTATGAAAAAGAAGGGAATCGTGCCTGTGACGCGAGTAAACGGGCCCAGAGATGGCTGGCTTGACCGACGGGGACTGACTGAAGGTGCAAGCCACGCTCGTCTCGGCCACGAGCCACGTCCCAGTGACCTACTGACGATCTCGATCGTTCGTGCTGCACACTCACCCCCTCCTGCGGCTCCTTCCGCCTTCTACGTAAAGTCCCAAACAGGCCCACCGTGTTCGCAAAGCCCGCCAGCCCCCTCGCCTTCCCGTTTCTGAGCCGCTTTCTGCCACTGTTTCCATTCCTTCTTTTTCCTCTCCACACGTCTCCCTTTCCTTCTCCGACGCCCTCTCTCTTTTTACACCGTCTCTCTACCACCTTCTTCGTTTATTCCCCACTGGAACGATTGCGATGTGGCTCGGGCACAGGTGAAAGACTCACGGAACGAGGCGCGAGAGTCGTTAAACGAGGAACGGGGAGGAAAGAGCCGCGTTTATTTCGGTGCTCGTTGTTCTTCGCCGGACCGAGAGAATGTTTCCAGACTTTTGATCAACTCTTTCTCCCCTCCCAGTTTCTTTCCCGTATGTTACTCTTCGATGTTGTAAATAAAGCACACGGTACTCGAAACGTGTACATTTTTCCTAGGAAATTCGACTTCGATAGGAAGTAGTTAGAAATGCGACGATTTGTAGACAGAGATGATCGAGGAAATTTAAATGCCATTCGCGATATGTCGATTTTGTGGAAAATTATTTGCTTTCGCTGCCAGGCAGATTTTCAACGCTTTAACAGTGATCCTTGATTATTAATCAACTAAATATAATTCGAATTAAATTGTTTGCTGTAAATAAGAGCTTAAACATATATAATCAGTGATTATTTAGCTAAACTAAACAATTACTGTGGTAATTTAAATCCAGCTCTACTTACAACATCGAAAGATGTACTCCTGCTTGTAATAACTTGTTAATTTCTCTAATATTTCATCTTATCTCAACGAAAAGCGTAAAATTGATTTCAACAGTAACGCTAACATTTTCTGTACGCAACGGGCGCAATATTAGGAATTGTAGAATTTAGTATCGGTCAAATTTAGTATCGTGGCAATTTTCACGAGAAAGCTTCCATTTACAAAAGCTCACGTAACGAAACAGCGAACGAAACGAGCTAACCAGTGTCCATGACAATATCGTAGCGTCAGCTGGCTAGCAGACAGAAAACGAGACGGAAAAATCTGCGAAAAACATTTCGGTCGTCTGTCACATAGCTGAAACGGATGCCGAGCGTGACTTGAATAACGTAACGGAAACGACGCTTCTAGGCTTCAATTTTGGAAAAAGGACGAACGAATTAGCAAAAATGCGCCATAGACCCAAACGGAACGTTTGAAACGTACAAAAAATACCATGAAATTTTCAACATTTCATTAAATAAACGCAAAGTGGCCTAATATGAGACCATTTCTCAAAAAAGTCATAACTTTCGACTGAGAACGCTTTTATTAAAAATCGATACACGTGTCAAAAGTAAGACATATATTCTTTTGCAACCTATTGGAAAATGCATTAAAAGAAATTCGGTTCCTTTGTAATAAAATAAAAAGGAACATTATGCAAATGCAAAGATTTACGAGACCCGTCTTATAATAAACACTTCCAAGGGTCCTATATTCGGAAACAATAGCGTAACTATTAAACAGCTTCGAGGTTAAGTGTTCATTGTTTAATGATACACAACTAGTAAACCGTAAACTCCATTGCATGCACTAAAAAGCAGTATCTATGAAAATGATCGTACATTTACTATTTTGGAGGTACTTGAAAAAAATTTCTGCGCCGTATTTCACAAGTATGTTTGCTCAAGTCGCTTAATCGATTCGAATCAAATTTGATATTTGATTTGACACGGTTAATTACGAAACGAGACAGCATCGCTGCGACACTCGAGAGTTCTGCAAAGCTGAGGTCTCATATTAGGCAACTTCACCCTAATTATCTATCTGCATGTATAAATGTGTATCGTGAAACGTTCCATTTTCGCGGATAGGAAAGATTACGGGGCCGATAACACGGCTGCGTGCAACTGGTATGCCACGCTCCATGGAACGCAAGAACGTATCAATCTAACGTGAGGAACGACGGGCAAACGCGAGGCCCTTGAAAGAAACAATGAAACGTTCGTCGGCTTTAGAACACGCGGAACGAGCTCGCTACTTTCCTTTTCGCTTCTCGAAATCGCGACGCAAACCTGAATTTGCGTAATACCGCGACCGATAAGAACGGGACTAGAAATGCAACTGGCGGTCTGCGTGGCCCAGATTTCTCGCTCGCATGTTGCTAACTCGCCCATCCGGAAGTGGCTTATGGTAAGTCGTTATGTGTGAAGGGATAATGCCGAACAGCAGATAGTACGTGAAAGTGCGAGTAAACGTTTCTCTTTTGTAGCAATTTTTTCTTTTCCTTTTTCCAACCTTTCGTATTAACAAGTGGATAGAAGTATACCGAAGACTCTTCGTGAAAGAGGATCTACGCATGTAAGCATGACATACAATACATGCATCAAATGTGAAGAATAATATTTTCGTCATTTTTGTCGTGTAACAGGCTTTTCTACATTTTGAAATTTAACTTGGTGATGTTCAAAATCAATTTCGTTAAATGAAATTTTTGTTACACAGCGGATTACACTCTATCCTGTACACCTGTGCAAACAAATTTTATCCTTCCATTTTCGATTTGTTTTTTAACGAGGAATCATAGTACCGTATTTTATGGAACACCTTGTACACTTGCAACACTCCATGTCAAATCAAGGAATAACAAGCGTATACCTATTCCTATGTACATAAAGTTCACTTATTCTATAAAAATTGCTGCACATTTACACTAATTTCCGGAATAAGGGCGTTCTATGATCTTAGCTCAACTTTAGGCTAATTATACTTAGACTTTTCGTCACATATAACGTTACTTAAACAAAATAACTCATCCATAAAATGTATAGTGTAAATTGGTAAGAATTGGTATCTACGGTAAATCAAATTTTACCCAAGGCACGTTTTCACTATTATGACATTGCCCTATATAAATGACATTTTTAATGTATTTTAACGTCATTTCGTTCCTTCGAATTCGATACCGTGATCAATCTTAGAGAAATAAATAACTTGCGCGAAATAAGTAATTAATAATTCAATTAGAAGATGAACCAGAAACACTCTGTCAGTGTCTGAAATGAGAGGAGGAAGTAATTGATGATAAAGCAGCGTCTCTAAGTTTCTTTCCGATACGGACTTCTAGCGAGCCTGACTTAATATTCTACTTTTACTTTCACCCATATTCATCTACTTTTCCCTAGGATCTTCCTTATCACTTTCTAAGACGATGCAAATCCTCGTATTTATCAAAATTGTAAAAAGACCCGTGCAATTCTAAGCGCAAAAGTTTCACAGACATTTCGAAATATGAATGGCTTTTTGGGCCAGTCATTGCCAGAATGGCCACTTTGCTTTCTCGAGCGTTTCATTTCTTCACTTTACCGATCATTTCGTTCCACTCGGACAAAAAATTTCAGATAAGATGTGAATCGAACGACGTCGAACATTTCTACCGCACGATTGATCACTTAGATCGTGTAATTGAGAGGTCCAATCAAGAATTCTGTAAGCGTTCAGCAATGTTTGTACAAGTGCTGTCTAAATCACTGGCTTTTCACTGAATTTTACAGACAATTACGTTCACTGTTGTATTGACTATTTCAACGCTAAATTCGTCCTCGATTAATTTGCACCCTGAGAATGACAAATTTTTTACTGTTCTCTGGATTTATGGAGGGGAAAGCTGGTCTAACCCTATTTTCAATGGCGCACCCAGGAGGGAAGGGCAAAAGGCTCTGGAACCTCCAAAGGAAAAAGAAAAGCATTAGAAATTTTTCCAAAAATCTTTTCCTAATTAAAATTCACACGAAAAAAAGAAACCGCGTTGAAAATATGTTTATCCGTTCAACTCGGCTGCTCCCGATATTAAATCTTGAGTGCGCCATTGCATACTTTAACAATGTTTTGACACTCGATGATGATAACTGTACTTCCACGATATAAAATATTCACCCTCGTTGCCCTGCCTATTGTCGACCTTGTGACTTCATCCAGTAAAAAGGTTTACTAAAAAATTGTACCAAATACTGGCGAAGTTTTATAGAAAAGAAATCGCAGATCTTCAAGCAGGGAAAGCTTCGCCGATTCACAATTACTTATCCAGTCGAATTTACAGAGAAAAAACTGATTTCACTGAAATCCTACTCGTTTCAACGCAAATCAAGTTTGAATGAATCTTAGTGTTTCGCATGATATATGCCTACTTTGTTGCTTATTAACTTCCTCTGCGAGGTAGCTGCAAAATGTTGCGTCAATATTTCATACGCACGAAAACAAACTGATCAAGAAAAACGCAACACTTAGTAAAACTGGTTAGAAATCCACACATAATATTTCATTCGCATAATTTGCATACATTTCTAGGGTAAGAGAAGCGGTTTGAACTTTTTCTCGAAAACTCGAACTCGAAAAAGTAATTGCTCGAATGTGTAGATATAAAAGAATTTATCAAGGAAATGGTGAATATAGGTCAACAGATATCCCCGCAAAACAAAGATTTGTATTTTCTGTAAAAATTTGTAAAATTCGTAGAAGCGTGAAATGTGCGTAAAAGGGAGGCACGCGCAACTTGTGAAATTTTTGCAATAAAAGTGACTCGATCAGGGGCGATAATTGCTTAAATCTGCTATAATGTTGTGTCTGCGTTATAATAGCGATCACGGAAATTGCGTATATCGATACGCAGGTGAAAGATATATATCTATATACAAGCATGGTCGAGTTAGGATATACCAGATGCAGGTCAGAAATCGGATCCGGTAGAAAGGTGGGCTATTAGGAGAAAGCGGCCCCAAAAATTAATCTTTCGACTTGTCGCCGCGGTAGCTCATCGAAAATCGTGAATCTAGGCAGCCTGTACCCTAGAATTTTGTTCCGAATACCCAAATCTTTACCTGGTTAGTCATGGAGGGACAGGATCACCTGTTGTGCATATGTACGCGTACCGAACGCTTAACCCATTTCACATCGATATTTTTCTCGGTACTCTAATATTAATCATTTTTCTTCTACACCGCGGAATTCTACAATTGGAATGTACAACGAGTAAATTCTGAAAAATGGCAGACGAGTAATGAAGATTTGGTAAAAAAGTATTCTTCACAGCACCTGGCTCTCGAAGCAAAGAAACAAACCCAACAAGTGCCGCGTTGCATCCTTTACAATTTCACAAAATTCCACGATTATTCCCTACAATTTCTGCGTCATCAACGCTGGTAAACAAACTGGAGATAAGAACGTGTAACGTCTTGCAAAAAGTTTTCCATTTATCAGACAAACCGTGCGAACGATCCGGGGATCCTTTAGGAAAAACTCAAGGAAATCGTTCTGCTGAATACAATGAATCGACTTTTCTTCCGCCCTGGGAACACATACGCATTTTTGTTGCCAGCGACTTTTCTCCAATTACCGCGGCAGTCATTCGCACACGTTTATCCGAAGAAATGGCGGTAGAATGCATGCGTGTCAAGAATATGTCGTTTACGTCTCACGTCCTAAATACGACGCGTAGACACCGAGGAAAATGACACCGAATGGAATCAGGCTCGTGACCGATCTCTTCTCCTCTCCTGGCATCCTTAAAATCACCTCAGATTGTCAGGCTGTGTATTAAAATATGCCAGAGTAATCGTTAGTCGGCGAAGAAGCCACGAGACTATGCTCCGTCATGCACTTTATCTACCTTTCGAGTTTTCGCATTGCGTTTCGCCAAGAAAACAGGCCTCTTTCTCGTTTCTCTTTGCCTATCGATAACTATCGTCAAGTGTACGTGAGTTACATCAGTCTCTGAAAGTTTCAGATCATTAGTATTTAATGTACTAACGATCTTTTTTATAGAATTACGCCAAAGTATGTATTTTTCTGATTTGTAGAGCCTCTGAAAGACGAAAAAGTGTCGAAAGAATACTTCATATTCAAAGTGCCACCGTTTTTTTAACTTTCAGTATTTTTCTTTTATTCTGCTACCGACCATAGCGACGTGCATACTAAATGAGAATCAATTGGATTTATTTAATTCAGATAAGCAGAACGGCTCAAATCATGGCAACCATCAACGTCCTCTTTTTGTTCATGCCCGTGTTTGACGTGTTCCATAGCAGCCACATTTCATTAGTTTTCAACAAAAAAATTTGTAATCATTCTTCAAGGACAAGTAAATACGTAGGAATGAAGCTCGTGTTAATAACTGGTACTGAACTTCTGTAATAAATTAGCAAAAATGGCCATCACACAGGAATCGCTAAATTCGAGTAATAAAAGATTCTTAACACCGCTAGCCCTTTTCTAGAAATTCTTCCGTAGATGGTGAAACGCTGTGGTTCCAAACATTTGGCCGATCACGTGTACAGGGTGAGTTAATAAAAATGACCGCTTCAAATACCTCGTTGCCTGTTGACTTAACAGAAAATGTTCCGAACGAAATTTACTGTCTTCTAGGTGTCTCGAATAAATATATTTCGATTCTTTTATACCCCATATTTTCTGAGTGACATTTTCTCTATAAATTTTCGTTTCGTTTTGAGGTTCAAAGTCAATTCTCCAAATCACCTTATTCAGGTCGTTGAATTCATTTTTTTAGCGACTATAGCATAGTACCAAAAAGAATATACGCTGCCAATTAAAACACCCAAAGTTACCTTGATATCTCGGAAAATATGTAACATAAAAGAATCGAAATGCAGTTATTCGATGAGACACCTAAAATACAATAAATCTCGTTGGAAATATTTTTTGATTAAGTCAACAGATAACGAGTTGTTTCAAGTATTGACTCACCCTATATATTAAGTCGTCTCATTTATACTCTTCGCGATGTGCTTTGTATTTCGAGTTACTTTCGAGAAATGAAATCATTAACTGAGACGTGTACTGTGCTCACAATCAGCTAGAAAGGTTAACAAACGTCCAGGACTCTTGAATCGGAACAAAGCGATTCTTTTTTAACGATCCTTTCCGTTGAATACAACGAATCGACGTTTTTCCGCTTTACGAATACATAGTTACACATTTTTCGGGGAATCATAGACGTGGCTCGATTTTTGAATCCACGATAATGCCAGACCGCGTGTGGCACAAAACGTGCAAAAAAAATTACGCAAATTCGATTGGGAAATTTTATCACACCCAGCATACTCTCCAGACATTGCCCCATCCGATTGCCATCTGTTTCCTGCGTTACAACATTTTCCAGCGGGCAAAAAATTGAACGATATCATTGAAAAATATTGTAATAAAGAAGCAAAGAAATTTTACAGCGAATATTTTATAATGACTTCGTGAAACAGATGAGAAGTTGTGGAACGAAAAGGTGTCTACATTCTTTCACAGTATTTTACATTAGAACTACCAGGTGAAAATGACCCATCAGCAACTTTCGAGAAAAAGTGATTGTTTTATACTGATAAGTATTGTCGTCTGTAACTTTCCAAATTTATTTTCTACGTGTGCGCTTCTATCGGTTGGCCAATAAGTAATGTTCTTCGCAGTAGGCAACCTCTCAAATACAGTCGCACGCTAATTGTTGACATTTCAGAAAGTTATTTAAAAAAAATTATTACATTTCGATGGAATTTTCTTTAATTAGTCTTATTGCAAAAATGAGTGACCGAAAGACGTGTTACCGAGCAATTATGCTTTTTTATTTCCGAAAAGGGAAAAACGCCACTCAAACGACAAAAAAGGTTTGCAATGTGCATGGTGATGGTGTTGTAAGTCTAAGAACGGTGCAAGGTGGTTTATGAAGTTTCACAATTATTTGAATCATAAACCTAATTTTCCAATCACGTTTTACACACATAAAAATTCACTTTTGGAAAGTCGCTAATGGGTCATTTGCGACCCGGCCGGTAGTTCTATTTAGTGCTAAAGATATCTTTAAAGATATCTTATTGGACGACCTGATACACGGAGAAATGACTGGTTTCTTGCAAAAATCGTATCGTGGGCGAAAGAAACAAAGAAGAGGGTCCGCAACAGGGATAATCGAAAATAATCTAGTTGTCCGAAGACAGGCCGTCGCCCTGGGCGTCAGAGCGCTTCGAATACGTGAGTGGGGCGAAGGAAACGAGAAGGCAGCCAGGAGTCACAGTTTCCTCGTCACGGAAATCAGATATCGTGTGGCAGTGCCCGGCTTCCTCCTCGAGCCGGCTATCTTTCCTTAGCGTTGCCGTTGTTGTTATTATTCGCGGTGCAACCGGTGGTGCAACCCCCTTTGTCTAGCCGAGGAGTGACAGGTGCGAGCACGTGACGTAACGAGGTACCGTTAGAGCTGGGCGATGCACACTCACCGGGCGAAGCCCCATAAGAATGCCGGATGGCACCGTGCGTAACACACCATGGGACGGGTGCGTGTTGCGCAAAAATTCTGTCCTCCATTGTGAAAGTGATGTGGAGGAAAGGATGTGAAGGTAAAAAAGGATGGCTCGGACATGATAATGGTTACACCATTCCACTTATCGATGGAAAGTTAATCGTGTGACGTTTTCAAAGAAATCGGAAAGTGGATTCGATCGAACGTCGTCAATGATCACAAATCCTTCTCTTAGCGAGATCAATTATTAGGGCAAAGTTGCCTAATAGGGGACCACGGCTTGTCTCCGTTGCAGAACCCTAGAATGTCGCAGCGATGCTGTTTTCTTTCGTAATTAACTTCTTATATCTAATATTAAGATATTAAATCCTTGCATTTGTATAATTTTCGTTTTTATTTTATTACGAAGGAACCGAACTCTTTTACTGCACTTTCCACTAGATTACAAGAGAGCACATATCTTGCTCTTAAAACGTGTTTATTGATTTTTAATAAAAGTGTTCTTAGTCGAAAGTTACGACTTTTTTAAAGAAACGGTATTAGGCATCTTTACCCTATCTTCACCTCTCCGTAGGCAAACTGGGTAGTTTATGTGCAAGTCTAATTTCTTTACTGTTTTAAGCTTTCGAAAAATCTGAAAAAATTCTGGGTCACTTATCCAAGTCGCTGCTACGTTATAGAATTGTTCGTTAAGTCAAATGTTTTAAACTTTCTTTAATAAAAATTCGTTTCAAAGACCCAGATTGCCTACGGAATGCTAATTGCGTGCCGCTGTGAACATGAACGAGAGAAATAAATGTACGAGGTAAATTTGTACCGAAATGATTGAAAAAAAGATGAACAAAGTTACAAAATATCAATTATATTGCATACGTATGTGTATAATAATTTTCTTTTATTCAGAAAAAGATTGTTTACATTGGTGAACAGAATTCTTCAATAATCACTACAGATAGATCAAATTCCTGCTTAGTAGTAAAACAAAGATTAGTAGAAACCGATGAAACACGTTACTTTTCTAAGTTAGACCGAAGCAATCGTTAAGTAAGATCGAGAAGAAGCCTTTCAATGGGAGGAAAAGAAAACGACATATTTCGATCTTTTACGCTATTTGATTAGCATCCGGAAATGATGAAAAAACTGGAAATATGTTCCTGTCATTTTCCCTCCGTGGTCTCCTATCGACTCGAAGGAAAAGTTGGGAGATTAAGGCGATGTCGCGCCACGGAAAATTGATCTCACGTAGACACGGACAGTGGCTCAGAAACTTTCACGAATATTTGCCTGACTCGTTAAGCAGACAAAACGTAAATCTGATAGATTACTTTCGATGGTATTTTTGCTGATTTCGTGAAATTACGAAATGATTACACAGCATCAAACCTTGATGACAGATCGAGCATTCCATCGTATCAACTACCAACCATCTTCAAATCCTTAACTTTTTAGAGAAAGAGCTAAATATTAGCAAGTGTTTCATCACAGATCTGTGCTCTTGCAATTAAAAATCAAATTAACCCTTTGTAATCGTATTTAGCTCAGGTATGAGTGCCGAGCTGGTCCAAATTAATTTTCACCGAACGATCACTGATAATGTAATACAAGATTGTAAATACAAAATGTATCATACTTTTTCAACTTTACGTATGTTTAATATAATAATAAGTGGTTTCATTTTATATGAAAATGATATTTTGTATTCTTCCATCGTGTGATATAAGCGCTTTGGTCGCACACAACCGCAAAGGGCTAAAGATTACGATATAACGCAGAAATTTATGCTTAGATTAGATTTTGCTTAAACTGCTATCGCTACTTTAACCCTTTGCGATCGGTGCCGCCATAGTGGCGGGATTTCATATGCACTATAACTAGTATGTATTAAACAAAATGTATCAGTTTCAAAATATTCTGTTTTTCAATATCCTTATATATATAATAAATAAACTATGCAAAAATAACTTTGAAAATTTAAATTTGCTTCGACTAGCTGATAGTCCAACCAGAGAAATGTGCCGATCGCAAAGGGTTAATATTATTTTAAAACTAGGAAGCAAACATTTCTAAACGATTTCACTGGAATTAATCGCAATATTCGTTAAACAACTGAAGTATTTAAACTTGAAATCCGTTCAAACAGATACGAACGTTTCTTCCCATGTAACATTTACCTGTTCGAAAGTTGGGAAACGTAATAACGTCTTTCCCAAATGATTAACATTTATCACGAAGCTCGTCATCCTGTATGCGGTTAAAGCGTGTACGAACCTCTAACAACGTGTTCGGCGATATTTATAATAAATCCGTCCTTTTTCAACGGTCGCTGAGCGCCACCTTCTTTTCTCTCTTTATCATCCGCGCGACGATCTTTCTCTGCCTACATGCGGCCTTATTCTCGACATAGATCCGGAGAAGGAAGGACGCCTCGGAGAGAGACGTGAGAACGCTGACACACTGACTCGCTACCCCACATACTCTTTTGCCTTTTCAACGTGTATTCAGAAGACTGAAAGTGGGGACAAGGAGCGAAGAAACGGGTGTAGGTACAGCTCCACCTGAAGCATCTTCCCAAAAAACCTCGTGTTTGGAGAGAGTCGTAACTATAGAATGATCCACATATTGCGTATACATCTCCAGCATTGAGAGAATCGAGAGAAATCCTAGCCTACAGGAAGCACGTGGCACCAAAATGATACGAGAAAGCACGAATGATTTGAAAAATTCCCCGGCGATTGCATGAAAAGGACATTTCAGGACATCGTCACCCTTCGTGACGTTTAAAACTAACGGTTACTAGTTTAGACACCGTTCGGTGTACACGCGAGTTATTATTCCTTCCGGTACCACTGATCACAACAATTTTTGTCACAAACCTTTTTCCTCCGGCTGTTCGGCAGACTAACGTAGCTGGGCAGTTATAATCCTATTGTCACACACACTTGGCACTTGTGATACTCTCCTCGCAGCTTCTCGTTTCCTCGTTCGTGTCTCCGGTCCCCGTTGTTGACGCCCGACGAAATCCTCGCGAGAAGTAAGGGCAAATGAACGAAAGGGAATGCGGTAAGCCGGGAGGTCGATTAATAAACGTAACAGGTAAAACACACCGACAGTCTTGCCGAGTGAGTTCGTTGTGAGGTGACCAGAAACGAAACGCAGCCTATATACTCTCCCCTCTCGGAGTCGTCTGCTTTCACCAAAAACCCTCGCCAGCTCGGCCTGGGCCCGTCACCTACCGGAAAAATTCAAATTCCCCGCTGTGCGTTCCGTCGAGGGAGATTCTTTGGAAAATGGATAGGGGAAAAACGACGAACAGCGAGAATCGCTGAAAAGTGTCGTCGAGGAATTTCCACGGGAACCAGGGAGATGCGTGATCGTTTTCACGGCTCCCCAAGATCCTCTGTACACCGTCAGACAATACTTTGTCTGCGGCGTGCACGTACACAGTACAGAGCCAGCTCGACTTTCTTTTTTCTTAATCAGCAACCGAGAGAGCTACAATGGGACGTAAACGGAGCGAGGTTGAATCACGACATTTGTCGGGGAATGACGCGCGCGCGGTCTCAGCCTGTCTACTACGAATATCGGAAGGCCAGCGAAGCCGGATGTCAGCGAAAGTTCTTAGAGAGCTTTCAGAGTCGGCGAAAAATTCAAGGAAGAACGTGACCGTCCTATATTCTTCGACTTTTTCTTTTATTAATCAAAAGTACTTTTTCCGTCTTTTTCGTTCCAGAGCTGTGACTGTTATCCTGCTTTTCTGTGATAAATGCAAATTTAAGCTGTTAAATGGAGAAGGCGAATTAACTGGGCATTGGAACGAACAATATTTTGGATTTTTTTTTCATATAATCGGCAATGAGAATTTGTTTCTTTAGGCTAATGCGATGGCGTAAGGACCCTATTATTAGAGTCCTTTGAGTAACATGAGGACACTTCCACTGAAGAGACCTGTCCCTCGTTCGAGGTCGACTGGCCAATGCCAGGATTTGTGTGAAATTCCAATTTTACGTGGTGTTTGACGCTTCTTTCTTGTACAGGGTGTAAAAAAATTAATGGTCACGGCTTGAGGGGGTGAATCTACACTCTTGGATCGGTGGACATTTGTAAAAAGAAGTTACTATGCACAACGTATTCTGCTCGACGAGAAGAGAAAAAGTCTGAGAGGAGCCATATGCCGCAAACAAATAGTTTCCGAGATAAATGTTAATAAAATTTGGCAACGATCTAATTGGGACCTACTAAGCTCTGCCATTTGGTGGGATCTAGCCGTGTAGGACACGCTCGGTATAATGGGTACGATTTTTGCAACGAAGGAGATGCTAAAATCATCATGAATCTCTGTAAGGCGGCAGTGCTTTACTAGCACGCCCTCAGTTCCATTCCATAAGTCCACGTTGGTTTTATTATTGCTTTATAGAGAAGAATTTTTCATAGTTATGGATCTTCGACCGATTAACCGGTACATATCTTTAGATCTTAAGTCGATCTGCTTTCTTTTTGTTGCTATATGTCTAAATGCAGTCCTAATGCAGTATTTTTATATTGTTGACGGAAAGTGGAGTGCGTTGCCTTTTCCTTAGGGGAAAGGTTGTGTGAATTAATTCAGAACGACCAATATTTGAGACGTAATTCGCCGAAAGATTCCTCAATTTTTAATAAAATCGATGTTGCTTTTTAGTAGACCCAGAGACCACTGTCGGTATATTTAAAGAGAAAAGAATTACTTTAATTACTTTTCGTTTCTGTTTTTGTGAGGACAAAAATGTAATTCTTTCACTATTTTCCTTCGTGTGCTTACGC